TACATCTCTTAACAGATTACTGGTTTTTTGTGCCATGGAAACCCTTCTCAAAGCCATGTTTTTCAAAGTATAAACAACAGGGTTGTTTTTAAAAACCCACAATTTATACTGAAAGAGTTAACAATATATTGTGGAATCAAGCTAAATGAGGTGTGCAAGTATGCAGTTCAATCCGTGTTGACAACTGTATATACTACCCGTGCAGCCACTGCCCTGGAGTCCCTGGGTGGTGCAGATGGCTTTGTGCTCAACTACTAACAGCCGAAAGCCTGGCGATCTTCCCAAAAGTCACAGCCATGGAGATTCTAGGGAGCGCAGTTCTACTCTGCAATACGTGGGGTCACCAAAGTCGGCACCGACTTGACGGCAACTGGTGAAGTCATGGCGTTTAACTTCTAATATGTTGCACTCTAGCTGCCAAAATTTCATGTTAAAGTTTTGCAACAATATTTAAAATGCATTTGTTCTGAAGTTTCTTCTTTTGAATGTTATTTTACTGGCCTTTATTAAAAGAACCTAAGTTCTACTTTTTTTCTCTAAGCTCTGGAATAATTTGAACACCATTTGTTCGGTAAGGAAAGCAAGGAAGCACTCAAAATCTACCAGGGTCACATCAAAAGAACTAAGAACTTAAAGAGGCTTTCACTGGCTCAAGATTGGAAACATATCAAGTATGTTTGAATCCATTAATTCATAATACTTAAAAAAAAAAAAAAATGCATTTGGTCACCTTTGGAGAATACTGAAAACTGGTAAATAGTAAGAATCAAACATTTATCATGCCTTTCCTATACCATCTGTACCTCAGGGTAACTACATAGTTAATGAAGGGAAATTTCTCATTGTAGAAGTATTCCAGACAGCAAAAGGACTAGAACACTGCCATTTTGAAATTGTGAAGGCATTACTGGATCTAGGCATTGATCCCGAGCAGAGACAGTCAGACATTATGTGCCCCTGATGCAAGCAGACATTATCTGTCATGGATTGGATTGTGGCCCCCCAAAAATGTGTGTAGCAACTTGGCTGGGTAATTCCCAGTATTGTATGATTGTGTTATCTGATGTGATGTCCTCATGTGTTGTAAATTCTATCACTGTGATGAGGTTACACTGATGAGGTTGACAAGATCAGTGTCTTAATGCAATCTCTTTTGAGATATAAAAGAGACAAGCGAGCAGAGACATATGGGAACCTCATACCACCAAGAAAGCAGTGCTGGGAGCAGAGCATGTCCTTTGGACCTGAGGTTCCTGCACAGAGAAGCTCCCAGACAAAAGGAAGACTGATGACATGGACCTTCCTGCAGAGCCAACAGAGAAAGCGTTCCCCTGGAGCTGACACCCTGAATTTGGACTTGGAGCCTACTGGACTGTGAAGACAATAATAAATTTCTGTTAAAACCATCCACCTGTGGTACTTCTGTTAAAGCAGCACTAATGACTGAGACACTATCTTAACCTTTTAACCTTGACACTCCCTGAGGGAGACATTGCTATTCTCATCTCCAGTTTTAAGGATGAGGTGGCTGCGGTATAAAGAAGTCCTTCCCCCGTAGGGGCAGGATGTGCTGATCAACAAACAAGAGTATCTGGTTCTTTTTGTAACTGTAAGTAGAAAACTGACATTCTGGATGCAAGAATGGGAATCCTGGGAGGGGTGATGAGTGATGGGTGTGGTGCTGGGGGCCTGAAAATCTGTCAATTATTAAAGCTTCGCTTGGTAAGGGAGGGGAGTAAGACAGCAAACTTCTGGTCTATCATAGCTGGAAGCTAACAGCTACTGTCCAAAGCGAACAAACCAAGAAATAGCAGAATAACCGTACTGTTTAGAAATATGAAGACAAATGCTAGAAGAAACAGACAAAATAAACTGGTCGCCTTAAAACTAGCTGATGATGATGTCAGGATAGTGGCTGTCTTGGGAGTAGGGGAGCACTGACTGGGAAGGGACCCCAGGAACATTCAAAACCAAAACCCCACTGCCATCTAGTCAATTCCGATTCATAGCGACCCTACAGGACAGAGTAGAACTGCCCCACAGGGTTTCCGAGGAGGAGCTAGTGGATTCAAACTGCCCAACTTTTGGTTAGCAGCCCAGCTCTCAGCCACTGCGCCATTCCAGGCTCCTGGAAATGGTCTACATCTTGATCTGGTTGGTAACTGGGTGTACACATATGTAAAAATTCAAGTTGTACACTTAAGATTGTGTATTTTACTGTATATAATTTTTAAAAATTGTTTAAATGTTTGCCTCGAAAGAACAGGAATAGGGTTTTGGGGAAACTGATTTTTTTTTTTTTTTTAATACACCTTTCAGTACTGTGAAAACCATATTCCCGTACTTTGACAAAAACAGAAATTAGACTTTTTTTAGAAGGTTCACAATAGATTCTGACGTGCATGCAGCGTGGGTTGCGAACAACTAACTTCACAATTATTCCTGTGACATTTTTTACAGCCTGTTAATTATTTCTTCCACTGAGGTAAATTCTCACACATTTCAGCCTCTCTCCTTCCAAGCACGTCTTTCCTTCTCCACAAAACAGAAGTTGGAATGGTACACAGCTGCCAGTGTTTGAAATTCACACCCAAGAACGCCGCCACCAGCGAGCTCTCAAAGGCAACTGGTTTAAATAAAATTTTAAAGACGTATTCATGTTGCTGCATGCAGGACAGTTCCTTCCTTTGTAGGGATATATCACAATTTATCTACTTACTCTCTAGCTGACGGGTAATAATTCAGTTGTCACCAGTTTGGGGCTATTTGGGCTGTTATGAATAAAGCTGCTATGAACATTCAACTACAAGTCACTGTTGTGGGTGCGGGTTGAAGGAGCCCTGGTGGTGCAATGGTTAAGCACTCAGCTGCTAACCAAAAGGTTGGCAGTTCAAATCCACCGGCGGCTCCACGGGAAAAAAGACCTGGCGATTTGCTCTCATATTTACAGCCTAGAAAGCCCTACGGGGCCATTCTACTGTCATATAAGGTCACTATTAGAATCGACTCGATGGCACACAACAACCTGGTAAGGATCTGTTTAATTTACAACAAAATGCCAAACTATTTTCCAAAGTAGCTGTGCCACTTTGCATCCCTACCAGCAAAATACAAGAGTTCCAGTTGCTCCACATCATCAACACTCGGTGTTGTCTTTCTACTCAGCCATTCTGGTGACTGTGCAGTGGTGTCTCAGTGTGGCTTTCATTTGCATTTTCCTGATAATTAATGACGTTTAGCATCTTTTTATGTGATCACTGGTCATCCATATATTTTCTTTCATAATTCTGATAAAGACAGTTCAGAGACCATGCGTGAGAAACCCTGTCTAAAAAAGCTTTTTTTGCTCTGGCTTAAATGGCTAATGTTGAAAGCCATTATTAACTTATTCAAATAAGGACTGTTAAAATGGAATTTGGAAAAGATAAAGATAAGTTAAATCTTGGTTTCAAGCTCAACAGTCAGAGGTAGGAAATTCTTTTAAAAAAACAAAAAACAAAGTTTTTTGTTGACACAGGTCAGCAAATGACCCTTCGGGGAGGAAGGTCTTATTGCAGGAAAATACCCAGCATGACACCTCCAGAGGATCAAATGTGACTAAGCCTAGTTATACTTTCTACCACACTAACCAGATAATACAAAAGTTATCAAAAATCGTGCGTGTGTGTATGTGTGTGAGAGAGAAAGAGATATTGAGATTTTAAGATTCTAATTCAAAGTGGTTGGCCCACCTCAAGGATGATTTAAAAATACATAGATTGTTTACCCCAAAGTCTAAGTACTAGAAGCATCTAAGCCACAGAAGCGTTCTAAAGGATTTCAAACGGGGTCACTCGTTGCGGGGCCATGTGGCAGAAGTGGCCCACAAGGTCACAGCCTGGGACAACGGCGTCCTTCACTAGCTATCAACCGTGTGCTGGTCAGGCAGCCTATACTGCCCTCAACCCACAAAGGCAGGAGCTAATAACAGACGCTGTGAGACCTTCCAGTCGTTTATATGATTAGGCAGAGAACAAACATTCAATTCCAACTGCACAAATTATTATACTACTACTACAACGTATTTTTCAGTCATGTTTTAGAGTCAGATATCCCGCTCCAGATATACACAAGCTCTAATGGGTCGGGTCAGGTCCCAGACACTCTTCCTTGCACTTACCAGCCAACCCTCTGGCTCTCACTCCCCACCCAGGGCTCTAAGTCCTAAGTGCCTGCTGTACTTTCCCTTCTAGGACAGCAGAGCAGACCACCAGGAACCAAGGAGATACACGAAAGTTTCTATGCAACCAAAGTAAAGAAAGGGAGAAGAAAAATGGCCATCATCGATGCCCACCAAACTCTATAAATTGAACGCATGGAACCAAATATGGCAGAAAACCTTCAGTTAATGAGGCATAGCTGGGTACACTGGGGAGAACTGATGAGTGTCCCTTTTAGATGTAGATCTGACATCACTTAGAATGACATTAGCTCATCTTTCTCACTGAGGTCTACATTCCTCTGTCACATCAAATCTGTTAAACCCTGGGGATCAAAGGCAGAAATGGTTATTGAAAAGAGATCTTAGTTCAGCATATTCACAGACACGAATATCATTATATAATGTTTTTTCCCTCAGATTTTCTAGATTCATTGGTGATACAGTTTAAGTCTACAGCTCTTCAATGCAGAAAGCGCTAGTCTCATTATGTTGGTTACACCGTGTTTTTATTTCAGTTTGCTAAAGGAGGAGAAAACAAAACAAAAAGACCAATTTCCTCTGCAGGCCCGTTCCTTGTCTGCAGTGGTTACAGGCAGCCCTGGGGTAGCAGAAGAACAGTCAGCACGGGGACCCGGGGGAGCAACAGTTCCTGTGGAATCTTTGCAAGTTTGTATTTATTTCCTTTGGTGCCTTGACCAGTAAGGCACTGTTAATGATCCAACAGGATAGAGGAAATGCCCAGAGCCAACAGTTCTAGTGACAATTTACTAGACAAGTTACAGTTTAATGATGGTGGTGGTGATTGTTTCAATTTATTATTATTATTTTTTACAATACGGGTGTAGCCTTTATACTCCACACACAAAATAAAACAAGTGCTTACGAAAGAGTCCCTGCCCCCTCCCCCCTCAAAACATCCTGAACATATAGCAATTCAACACAACAGAAAAATCAAGACGTTTGATTTCAAAATTTCAATAAAAAAGCAAAAGTATGTAATGCAACAGCTGTTCAACTTCCAACTCTAAATCAGCACTGTTAAACAAAAAAGAAAAAAACAAAACAAAACAAAAACATTTTCAATTTCTCCAGCACTCATTCCAGTATAAATGCTTGAACTGTAATCCGCTAGTTATTAATCAATGGGAACAGAACCTTAGAACAGAAGGTATATTGCTTTCCTGCCCCCCTTTCTCTTACAATTGGAGGGTGGAGGCATTAGGGGATACAAAAGTCAGAGGAAGAATTAAAAAGAAAAACTCCCAAAGCTGCTCCTGTCTGGACTAGAAAGGAAGACGGCATCTTACAAATGTTCAAAAAAAAAAAAACCCCGAGGCAGGTAACAATTCATTCACTATCACTCCTACTAGAAAGAATAAATCAGAGATCGGCGTCTTATTATATAAAACTGTGAACAGAGAATCCTTTCAGAATTGTATTACAGGGTCACCAGAAACTATGGGTGTCATTTTCAGCTTCATCAAGGAAAACAGGTTCCGTTCCCATTGAGTCAGACCCCGTCCATCTCGCCTAGCTGGATGGGTGTCTGGGCTGCTCAATGTGCACCCTGACCTGCTGTAAACTAAACAATAGTATGTAACTCAGAGGAAGAAGAAGGACTGAGGACATGGACACCGCTACTATATCTCCCCTGCTTCACGCTCTTCAGAGCTCCTCCTGTCTTCTGATCTGCCATTAGCGCTCTCATAGGACCGATTCTTATCTTTCCGGTCTCTGTCACGAGGTGATCTGTCTCTTGAATTCCTGTCTCTGTCACGTGATGCTATGTCTTGGTCTCTGAATCTTTCTTTTGAGGATCTGAAAAATATTAATTTGAGGAGCAAAATATGTTGGGAAACTCAAAACCCAGATGAAAGAACAGGATAACTATTAAGCTATTGATAACGGAAGAAAACACAGAAGAACACAGCCAAGCAAAACCGAGGAGCCAGCCTCCTGACAGAAAACAGCCCCCCCAGATCTGATACAGACACTAGCACGAGATGGGTGACAATACACGGTGAGGGGTCGGAGCATGAGCTAAACGACCCAACTGCAGGACACTCTCTGATGAGCTCAGAGGCAACCAAAGACCTCCCAAATTAATAAAAACATATTCACTATGAAAACAATACACAGACAGTACCTTAAAAAGTGAAAGCTATTATCAAATATATATATGTATGTACATATATATATATATATATAAAATAAAATGCAGATTCTATTAGATGGACAGAGGCATCCCACAGATGGATTAGAACCGTCAGCAAATTTGTTCTGTACAGGGCCGGACGGTGAATGTCCTAGGCCTCACTGGTCACACGAGTTTCTGTAGCCTCATTGTCCTTGCTTTGTTTTCTTTTTTAACACCCCTTTAAAAATTAAAAACTATCCATAATTGGCTGGCTGTACAAAAACAGGCCACAAGTCAAATGTGGCCTGCAGGCAACACTTTGAAAAGACAACTATTTACTTAAGGATATGGCTTTAAATTATTTTTTTAAAATCAGCTTTATTCCTCCTGAGTGAGCTCCCTCAGCCAACAGAAAAAAAAGAGAATGGAAGACAGAGAGAGGCGATCAGACTATAAGGAGTTCTGATTAATCGTAACGACTGGTCCATTCCCATGTCCAAGTTCTGTGAGAAAGTTCCAATAACAAAACAAGCTCCTATCAGAAATTTAGTCTGCAGGAAACCCAAAGGACTGGACGGGGTCAGAATAAACATGGAATCCTCTATACTTTCAACATCTAGAATGAATCGGCAACATTACGTTAGTTACGTGGTTCTTTACAGGTGACATAGTACTGCTACGTAACTACGTCACTAAGCCATGCTCAGACTTGGGATCTGAAGCGCTACCAAGACCCTGAACGAGTTCAACTTCTGAGACAGAAAAAAATAACACTGCGTTCATTTTAAAAAATAGAGTTACGGACCATCAGAATGGAAAAGGCTGAAAGATTAAATAATGCCATGCTTTTGAGCAGTCTATTTAACTAAGATTTTAATAAACTTAATTTTAAAATGTGTTTAAAAAAAAAAAAAACCAGCCAGTGCAGACCTGGGTACACTAGCCCTAACCATACCCTTTCAAGGGAAAAAACATGGAAAGAGAGATGAGAGATGATACCTAGAAGAAGACACTAGATGCTGGTGTCCCGGAGGTCAGTAACAACGACTGAAAAACACGAGAGGAGCATCAGCTAGGGTTCTGTGAGAGGTCAGTGTTCCGCTCGGCGGGCTGAGCAGTCCCCAGGCATTCTCTCACTCCAACTCCCCGATCCTAGTGGGGTTAGGGCTCTTCCTAGCTCTACTTAGTAGATGGGGAAAGAGAGGGGCGATAATTACATTGCTTGGCCAAGGCCACTGAACCCAAGGAGTCTGACTCTGAAATCTGCGCTGTGCATGTCTGAACAGAGCAGGAGGCAGAAAAATCCAGATGGTCCTCGCTGTCAAGGGAAGGTCACAAGGAGAATCCTCTGACCTCAGACCAGTATTTCAGAAGCAGGGCAGGAGAACAACAAAACATGAAAGGCTTAATTGGGACTTCTATCTTGAAAACTTACACCCAAATATGTCGAGATAACGTGATTTTACCTTACATGTAATAACATATAGGTTATAACATCAATTATCTTCTAAATTTTTGGCAAAAACAATGATTCTTTAAAAGAGTAATCTGAATATCAAAAAATCAGAAGAGCTCTTGAGAAAAACAAAACTTTTAATAGTTTCACAAAAATCATCCTCTTTATGAGCATGCTGAAAACATCAGATGTGAGGGGTGTCATGTGGCATGGTGGAAACTTCTCCTGGGCAACTTTAGAAATTCGGGTTGAAGGTAACACAATCTCAGAAGATGAGGGGACTTCACCGTCTCCCCTCCCATTCCCACCACCAACAGACACTGGAGAGTTCACAGGTACCAGGAACAATGACAGCTGGGCTGGCCCACAGGACAAACTGTCTAGACACCCGTCACCCAGCATCATCATTCTCAACATCAGTGGACATGCAAGACTCACGGAAAACTTTTCAAAAATGCATTTTTAAATGCACTGAAGGTGGTCCCCAAAAGCTGCAGTTTTTAAGAGTGTGAGCCAAGTGGTCTGTAAGTCACACGTTGAGGAACTGTGTCCCCTACAAATTCCCTGCTCATTCTTCTACGCTGTTGCTTACGATAGCCACTCAATCCGGAGTATCTTTTTCCTACTTGCTTTTACCTATTCAAATTAACTTTATTTAAGTTTTACCTACTACCTGAAGCCATTTTTTCTATCCTGGCGTTTCCCTTATCTAGACTTCTATATAATTTACTCTGTAATATACGTGGTCTAATACCAATCTATCATCAGTAATGTGAGTCCTGTGTTCTAACTCACATGCTGGATACCTTAGAGCAACTTAAACAAAGTAGCTGAACTATGTTATACTTATTATTTTTTACTAGGCTTCGTCAGTAGAAAGTATACAATTCTTATGGATTAAAGCCATCTCATGGACTATTTAGAACAAGAATATAAGAAAGAAAATACTGACTGAATACGAACCAACTCAACTCATGAGTGATTTCTGGGAATGGCTAGCTGAGGGTCAAACAACATTGGAAAAATTTAAACAGCTTTCTGTGATTCTATCGTGGACTTTATGTGGAGTAACACATAGAAAATTTATGACTAGTGGATAGCAGGCACTCAAAAAAAATGTTTATCAAGTATATACTTAAGAAGAGCTGTCAAGAAAAGAACAGTTTTAAGCGGTTTACATCCCACAGAAATGACCTGGCTTGAGGGCCAGCATGTGTCGGAGAATTCTGGAGGCTCAGTCTCTATGCACGCTGAGTGCCAAGCATCTCCTCCACATTCAAATCCTGTCTGATCTTCAGGTCCTACCCGCCACACCCTGCGCCTGCCCTCCATGCACCTCGTAGGTGGTCTCTTCATGCTAAAGAAGTCCTGTAGCTTCCTCAAGAACCTGAATCCATCCTGCCAAGCTAAAGGTATATAACAATGCATACTACACTGCAGATTAGACAAGAATATACAGAATGTGTCTGCTCTGAGAAAGTGCACCAGCTCAAGTAAGTTTGGAAAACAGTAAGTCAAACAAAGCTAAAGAACTCTTAACAAAAGGACTTCTCAGAGCCCTTAATTTGCTAATACATCCTGTAAAACCTCTAAGAGTAATGTTATCTAAAATCATTTCCCATAGAGCACTTTTTTCCAAGACAAACTAAGCAGAAAAAAGCAACAACCTCTGCACATATCAATACCAATCTCTTACTCTGGTTTGTAAGTCTCTCCTTAACTACCCACATAATCAGGGAAAAAAATGTCACACACCTACACACAAATGTGTACATATTACCAGATGCAAGTTTCGAATCAATAATATTCCAACTCTAAATATAAAGGTAGTTCCATATCCTCTCATCGATACATCAATACCTCCTCTTGGAGCGCTCTCTGCTCCTATCTCTAGAACTATGCCGACTTCGCTGGTGGCTGCGGCTGCGGCTGCGGCTGCTGGAGCGCGATCTGTGGCGATGGCGCTTCTCACGAGACTTGGATCGAGTTCTTCTCTTCCGTTCCCGGGACACTGAGCGAGACCGATGCCTGCGGTGCTCTCTGGACCTGGATCTACAAAAGACAACGTTTGATTTGGATAAATGTCAGGGTATTTTTTATACTACATTTCTCATTTACTAAAGGCTTTTTTTTTAAGAGAAATTACCTCTCAGTAGTCTTACTTCATGTCAATTCTACTCCAAGTCAGCTAAATCTACACTAAAGTATGCTGCTGGTATACTAAATAACTTCATACTAGAATTTAAAAAAGAAATTAAACACTACTGCAGACTAAGGCAGAGAGGGGTGTGGTTAAGTATAGAAATAGGGAGACCAGTTAAGAGGCTACTGGAATACTGAGGTCAGGGATGAATGGGACTAGAGTGGTAGAAATTTCTGGTCCAAATATCTAAAGATATTCCATGTAGAAATACTCTATCTTTTCAAAAAGAGAGCAGCTTGTATTAATCAATCAGTAAACAAAGCAGTATCACCACTTAAATGTTTCTATTTCTCATCGTGGACAATATATATTAGCTGGCATAATCAGTATCATTTATTAGTATCTTTTACTTTTAAAACATTTGAAGCAGAAATATCAGAGTGACTGGAAAAAGTACTAAGAGACATCTAAACACAAGCATAAGGTGGTTTTATTTTTCCCTCTCCCAACAGCAAATGGTTAAAAACGGATTTTAGAATTGTCACGATGTTTCCGAGCCAAACCCAGAAGACACTGTCATCACCAGCTACTGTTCCTCACGTTGGTGTTACTTTAAAACCCTGAAGTCCTACTGTTGTTATGATTTCAAATGATTACGTGTTCTTCTGAAATTTTGTATTTTCTTTCTTGATGCCACAACTACAATACGAAGAGCTGTTACACTGTACATCCGTGCTTTGGCTTTTCTAGACCCTCTGCCCTTCTTTGACAGCCTTGGACACGGCATGCGTGATTCACAGCTATCTTAATGCCACCCTCACGTGAAATGTACTCAAAGTTCATAAAACAAATATGAAATAGCACTACTTTTGTTGTGGTACGTCATCATTTATTACACAGGAGCAGACAGCGTAGAGGAAAGAACTGTGGAGTAAAAGGACTAAAATTCTGGTACACGCTACCACGTGGATGAACCTCCAAAACGTGATGGTGAGTGAGTGAGACACAGAGGACCAACACGGTGTGACCCCACTCAGACGAGAGATCTACAAGCAAAGTCACAGCGACAGAAAGGAGAATCGCCTCTGTTTGGGGTGATGAGAAAATTCTGGAAATAGAGGTGATAGTTACACAACACTGTGGATGTTGTTTAATGCCAATGAATTGTACATTTAAAAACAGTTAAAATGGTAAATGTTATATTACGTATACACTTTACCACCAAAAAATTATATACAAAAAAAATTTACAAAAAAACAAAGTAAAACTGTGAGGTTACGCTCAAAATATTGGATTCTAAGTACTGGCATCTATTCTTTGACAAACACCAACTCTCTTTTAGCTTTCAATAAATACCAGGGCACTGTATATAATTTTACTCTGATAAAACAAAATTGTACTTCAAAAGTTATCTTCTAACCAGTTTCTCCTCAAATGAAACTACTCAAACTTGAACTATCAAAGAAATACTAATCTATTAATTCTCATTAATTTTTACAAATATTTAATCTATAAAAGCTATCTTTGGGAGGTGGGGCCAAGATGGCAGAGTAGTCAGACGCTTCTGGCGGACTCTCTTACAACAAAGACCCAAAAAAACAAGTGAATCAACTATATATGACAATCTAGGAACCCTGAACATCTAAGGCAAAGTTGAGGAACCAGACTGAGTGGCAGGGGGAGGGAGAGACCGTTCAGGAGCAGTGAGGAGTTGCCAGACCTGACTGGGAGAGAGCCTGAACCCTTCAGGCCTGATCAGCTCATGGGTGAGCGGTGAGGCAGGCAAGCAGCAACGCTCGGGAGTCGTATTCTGCACCAAGAGACACCCAGCTGCAAAGAGTCTACTTGGCCAACCAGAACCAGCGAGAAGCAGCCCTAGATCAGCGAAAGGTAAGTAATTGCGCACGGCCTACCGCGTGGTTCAAAAACACCCCTTAGGGAAAAAACTCTCTCCCATTTACCTCCCTGCTCTCTGCGCTGCACTGGCTACCCAACCAGCTTCAGCAACTGGCAAGTACCCTGGGCCAAAAGTAGGATCTGTCACATGCCCTGAGCCATTTTCCCAGCCTTGGAGAGTGAACAAATTACCAAACGGGAAAAAATAAACTGCCAGCTCCCCTAACGCAGGAACCTAGGGTAGGCACAGCTCCTTTGCCTAGGCATGGGCATAAGGGATCCATGGACTTTGAGTACCTTTCCCCCTGGAGAGACTTGTGTGGGCCCATTTCAACAGTACAGGCCCTCATTACCACAGTACAATAGGGTATATACCTGAAGTCTGACTTGAACTCTTTCAGCTGTGAAGTCGCAGGTTCATGACATTTGACACTACTCTGCCCGTTAAGCAGGGTCTTTACCTACTCACATCAGGTGCCTGAGGACTGGTGGATCCACTCACGCCACCTAGCCACCTGTGACAGGGGCCCAAGAATAAGAGGTGCCCCCCAGTCCCTACAGCCAACAGTACTGGGTGCTCATAGTCCGGCTGTAAAACCCACCCACCTACGTGCTCTAGGAAACAGGGACACGCCTTCCTCCTGGACACTCGGGGGCAGCCGTCAGCCACGTCTTGGTCCTGGACACTCAGGGGCAGCTGTCAGCCCCCTGCCTTGCTCAGAGTGTGTCCCCTGCTACATCCAGATGCCTGTGCCTACACCAATCACCCATGCCTGTCTAGGACTGTAGGTGAAAGCCTACACTACAGACTTCGTGGCTGTCTACCTGGGCACCTGCGCTGAATCCATACAGGAGGAGTGGGCAGACTCCTGAGCTCACATACCTAGTAACAGATCTAACCACCTGGTAACAGGACATTGGAGCTTCAAAGGTGCCAATAATCAAACTAGCTCATACGAGTAACCTATTTGGGCATATCAAAACAAAACAAGAAGCTAGGACACAGTAAGCAAACATGAAATAAATAAATATAAGATACTGATGGCCTGGAGACAAGAGTCAATATCAAATCACACAAACAGGCAACCCATGATGGCTTCAGCAAGCTCTCAAAATAAAGAACATAGAAATTTTCCAGAGGAGGAAAATTTATTGGAATTACCAGAGGCAGGATACAAAAGATTAATATACAGAACTCTTCAAGAAATTAGGAAGGAAATTAAGCAAAACACAGAACACACAATAGAGGAAATTAAAAAGATTAGAGAAGAGGATAATGACAAATTTAACAGGCTGCAAGAATCCACAGAGAGACAGCAATCAGAAATCCAGAAGATTAACAATAAAATTTCAAAA